GTTGTCTTATTAATAAAGATGGTTGTCATTGTTTATAAAAGTAAGCACAAAAAACAACAAGACTTTTATTTATAAAAGTGAATTTATTGATGAGTGACCCTGCTTAAAAACCAAGAATGAAAAACAAACAAGCAACAACACAAACCATCAACAAGAAAAAAAGAAATATAATAAATAAGGCTTGTTTTGTGGATAAAATATGTAACATATTATTAACAGTCATAATTTCATAATTCAGACATTATATTATATACAATGGTGTGAAAAACTATTTGCCCCCTTCCTGATTTCTTACTGTTTTACATGTTTATCACACTTAAATGTTTCAGATCAGCAAGATAATTAAAATTTTGGATCAACATAACTCAAGCATACACAAAATGCAAATCATAAATGAATTTTTTTATTATCAAAAGGCCGATATTATGTGTTTCTCAGGCATAAAGTTCACTTCTAACCTACCAAAATCAAGTAACTACATTCACACTGCAGGTCTTAATGCTCAGTTCTGATTTTTTGAAAAAATCCGATCTTTTTGTGTGAACGTTCACATTACATTTTAAATGTGACCTGCATCAGACCCCTGTGTGAACACGCCACAGCGCTGTTGTGACACACATGCACAGTAAAAGACGTGACGTCTCATCAGCCGGCTTGTTTGTTTACAGAGCTAGCATGGATGCTACTTTTAGCATGTCAAATCTAAAGTTGCTGTTTAATCAGAGCTGATTAAATAATTATCTGACGTGCTTGTTTAGTTCAGTGTTTATATCTGAACCTGCCTCTGACCGAGATGCTCCGGTGAAGCTTTTTATTTTGGAACGAAGCAATGAGCTGGAAATAAATTATCAACCGAGTAACTTTAGGATCGATACACTCCATGACCGATGCTGGACGTTACCATCTACATGGAAAATAAAAAGTAAAAACACGAATCAACTGGACTTCTGTTTTGGAGCTGTAAACACATAGAGCTACAAATTTAGTGTGACTTCAGGTTAGTGTCTTATTGATCCTTCACCACCACCACCCTGATGAAAAAGTCAGATGAATGTGACATGAGCGTTCACACTGCAGTCGCTTTGAAAACATCAGATATGTATCAGTGTGAACGTAGCCTATGTCACCTTCAGTTGTTGTGAAAATGCTGTTTACAAATGAAAAATAAATTTTTCACATCATAGCCATTTCTAAACACCTTGAAATTGGTCTCTGTCTCTTTAAGAACCTCCTACTGATTCCGCCACGCCCATTTCTGCACATCATCACAACAAAGCTTCATACCGTTTACAACCGGTAGCTGTGTTTTATTGTAATAATAATAATCATAATAAGAATAAAATAGCAGCAACATTATACAATATGGGTTTTAAATAATATCAACTCAGGATACAATTGAACCTTACTGTTGGACTAGAAAATATGTTTTATGAAGAACAGAGACAACATTTCAGCTTGGTAAGAAAATAATATAAAGCATGATATAAAGCTCAAAAAAGTTGATTTTACATGATATAGCCTCTTTAAGGTAAGAATAAATCTTAACCTACAGGGCTTTTTTTTAAACATCCCCCCCAAACACACACACACACACACACACACACACACACACACACACACACACACACACACACACACA